AAAAGAAAGCAAGAACTGAAGGACTAAGAGAGGGAAAGGAGAAGAGCTAGGAAACATGACAGTGACAAGCCATACAGTAATATGTAGAAGATGGGCAAGGCAATGATCCTGAGAATCTCCAGAAGACTTTTGAATCTAGCATATAATTGGAAAGATTCTCACCCTATCTATATATACTGACAACTGTGAACTAAGCAACTGCACTGAAGATGGCAATTTGTAACAGTAGGTTCATGTTTGAAGTGCCTGTCATTCTGGTCTTCTGAATACAGGCTGCTTGTCATGACATGCCAGTTGCTACTGTGCTGTCTGTCAGGTAGATGACTGTTCAAAAAGAAGGGGGTGGTGAACGAAGACAAGAGACAAGAAAAGGAATGTTGTGGGACTGTCCTGCCTCAAGGCTGTATATGGTTAGATTTTTGGACTTATGTGTAAAGAATTATATAATTCTTTATGCCTATTTTTAAAAATATATTCTAGTTTTTAAATGTTTTTTCATCATATTCTATAGGGACCTAAAGTTCAACATATCAATACTTGAGGAAAAATACCTGTTCTATGTTATGCCTAAGATGTTTGACATTCAGACAGATAGTGAAGTTAAGCTTAATAGCCTAGGTTGTATGGTAATAACAATAAGCTTCTCTTCTGGAGCGTTAACAACCTAAGTTTGCAGACCAAAAATTATAGAAAAACGAGAGCTATAAGGACAGCCAACATTTTGGCCCTAGCCTTCCAAGGTCAATTAAGACTCAGGACACATGAGACCTTGTACTGTAACGTCATGTACCTCGGTAGTGTCCCAAATTTTCTGATCAAGAAGATTATGGGGCCAAAGAGGAAAGTGATCGATGACGTAGAGTGTGCCTAAGGAGAGTCACATGGAGAGAAAACATTCTCTCAGGCTTTCACAGAGAGCACATTGGCCAAGCAATGGCCGTGACTCATCCACATGGCTGACACTGACAAAGGTTCTACAATCTGAGGTACAGGATCTCAGGATAAATCCTGAGAGGATTTTACTGACCTTATCAGACCCAAAAGCTACAAGTCTTTTTGCATAGGTCTTGCTTTATCTTGGTCTTAACCATCCAGCAGAAAAGTATAAAAATGAAGTATAAGAAGTAAAGCCATGCCGTTATACTGAGCTTTAGCAACTCAGGTCAACAATTTCTGACATTGCCAGTGAAGCGGAAGACTCAATACTATTATGGACTACTGGACTCTTTTAGAATATTTTCCTGAGTTAACACACCTATAATATTCCAATAACGGAACTAAACAAAAAAAGGGGATACAGATGAATGTCCATTTTGTATTTGTGATTTCAAAATGGTTAGGACAGATATATAGTTACATCTCTTAATAGAGGGATTGGTTTTAACAGTGTTTTAAAATAGGATATCATGTCCACATCTTGTACCACAATTAACCACTAGGAAGAATGTATGCAATGTGTTAATTATTGAAACTGTCCTACCCATTTGGTTTGAAACTGTCTCATTGCTATTTGTTTCTCAATAAAATTATGAGGACAAAAGAAAAAAGTACAAATATTTTTGAAATTATATTCTTCTGATGAAAATTAAAATGTTTATATTTTCAGAGTATATGGAAATGAATAAAGGGCTGGGGAGACAGCTTAGTGGCATAAGCGCCTGCCTGGCAAGTGTAAAGTTTTGAGTTTGATCCAAGTACAAAAAAAAAGAGAGAGAGAGAGAGAGAGAGAGAGAGAGAGAGAGAGAGAGAGCACACGCGCGAGAGAGAAATTGAATAAGAGAAATGCTAAAATATAAGAACAGATAAAAACATATGGTGTGCTGAAATTTTTTTAAATATTGCAAAAAAAGACACACCATCATTAATCTCCTTGAAAGTACTCTCCACTGCTTGAAACATTTATTATATTATTCTTGCCACTTTCTTGGGGAGTTCTTGGCTTGATCTTTCATGGGTGTTTCTGTGAAATGTGGTCAAAATGTGGCTAACAGCCATCCAAACAAAACACAGCCTTGTAAAAACAATATGGTGTGTCTTCTGCCACCTTATTCACTGGATCTGACACAGAGGCACTTCTACTCTTACAAAATTAAGGATGAAAAAAAAATAATGATGACCATAAAAGGTAAACAATTTGAATGGATTAAGGACATTGAGGCAGCCAGGATACTCTTGAAGGACTTCCAGAATTGCTTCAGAAAGTGCCAAAACTTTTAGGCAGGCGTAGGCACCATAGTTCAATCCCCAGCATGCCGTGCCAGCCCTACTCTGGGATGCCCCAAGATGGTGAATGAGACTGGGCATGGTGGTATACATCTGTAATCCCAATACTTAGGAAACGGAAAACAGGAGGATCACTACGAGTCTGATTTGTGTAGTGAGTCTTGTAGACCTCATATACAAAACTGATAGGATAAGTGGGCTCAATGCAAGGAGGAGTATTCTGAAAGGGATTAATAGCATGTCTTTTACTGTAATAAGTACTTATAGTTTAACATTCACTATATTCTCGATCAGACCATGCTTTTATGTTGTAAAGGGATTTATTCATTCCTTTAATCATGTATTCTAGATAAAGATAAGATTCCTATTCATCTGTTAATAATAGTTTATCAGCAGAGGATTTGCTATTTTCCACATAAAAAATCAACTGACTCATTTTTTTTCTGTGTCCCCCAAAACCTCTTGCACTCATGGGGTAGAAGGCTTATGGGAGTGTTATAACAGATTTGCTGTTAGGGAGGTAGGGCCAGGGTGGGGGAGGGGTGTCAACAGAGGCATGAACTGGAAAGGGTTTTCTCCCTCCCTAGTTCCACCCTTTTCTCTCTGCTTTGTGTCTACCATAAGGTGGGCAGCTTTCCTCTGACCAGGCCTTTCTAGCATAGCTTTCTGTACTGAAGCCAACCATGAAAGCAATGAAACTTCTTAAATGTGAGCCAAAATAAACCTCTTCTCCTGTAAGTTTTAGGTGTCAGGAATTTTGTCCTAGCAATGAGGAAAGTAACTCAGGCATCACTGATACTCACCTTCTTATAACAGAACCACCCTTCAACTCAGTAAGGGCCGTTTCACTGGTCTTACCACTTGCTGAGGCAGGGATTATCTTATAACTTTTGTTTCTGTCCTTCTCTTCCCCCAAGTTTCATTAATCACCCATCTTTTCTATGCAAATTTTGCCTAACCAATTCAAGAATTTAATTTCCTGCTTTAAGCTCCACAGAATATCAAGATTAAGCAGGTGTGTGTGTGTGTGTGTGTATGAGAGAGAGAGAGAGAGAGAGAGAGAGAGAGAGAGAGAGAGAGAGAGAGAGGTAAAGAAGGACACTGCATTGAACCCAGTATCTGTTGTATAATCTATCCCCCTGGAACCTATCCACTAAAAAAAGAGAGGTGAAGATACTTGACCCTCTTGAGTTTACAGTATCACTAGTACTACACTTCAATAGCCTAAAAGAGAAAATTTATTAAATGCCAATTTGCAAGTATTGCCTGTTATTAAATTAAATAATTAACTCAACAAGTAGAATCATTTTATGAACTACAACAGGAAACTGAGAGACTGAGACATGCTCATTTTCTCAAAAAAACTGAGATGACAGGCAAAACACATAAGAACAATAAGTGACTTTGGCTACCTTCTTTATATGCAAACTAAATTAAACTGCCAATCTCATGTCCTGATATCTAGAAATAAAATCAATTAGTTTTGGAAGGCCTTCCATAAAATCAACAAAATCAACAATTTTTATTAATAATGTAAGCATCAGACTTTTTTATACCATTAACTCCAGAAATATAATTAATGTTTTGACAAAAAAATTAATGCCCCTAATTTTCTTTGCATATTTTCTTTGTATATTTTTCTTATCAAAGCTAAAAACTTTGCACAGAAGAATGCTCTGTCTGAAATACTTGCTTTGAAATGTCCACTCAATAATAGGCTCAGTGCATGTAAAATAAATGAATGAAAAAAACTACACATGATGTTTACTAGTCAACAGAAATAAATGATGTAGCAAATGACGTATTTTAAAATTTATTAAGGAAAAGTCAAAGCAATCACTCTCAAAAACTTCTAATCTAGCCAGGCATGATGGCAGATATCTATACCCCAGCACTCTGAGAGGCCAAAGCAGGATGATACAAGTTTGAGCCTGGCCTGGGCAGCTTGGTGTCTTAGTGAGACTCTGTCTCAAAATACAAAATTAAAAAAAAAAAAAAAAAAAGACGGGATGGAGCTCAGTGGAGAGGCACTGGGTTCAACATCTGATGTGGGGAAGGGGGTAGGGAATACTAATCAAAGAGTCAAGAAATAGCAGACTTCAAAACCATATGATCAAGCTCACCTAAGGATCAATAAATGGCATCTTCTTTGACCATGGTAAGAAGATTTTCACTTATGAATGCATAATAAATTTCCATAGCATTGATTTTTTATAACAGGGATGATGAGGATGTGTAGAAAGTCCACATGACTGAGAGGAAGAATAAAACAACATGTAGGTCACCATAATCACCACTGTGTTTTGGTTTGTTTGTTTCTGTGGCACTAGGGTGGGGCCCAGAGCCTTCACATTACACTGAGCTACATCCCTGCAGCACCCCACCACACACACCTCCAAGACAAAGTCTTGCGAGATCCTGGGACAAAATACCCAACATCCACAACTTACAGAAGAGGTTTATTCTGGCTCACATTTTAGAACTTTCAGTCTTTACAATGCTGGCTACAAGAAAGTAAGACACTGGGCTCAATGCTGGCATCCTCTTGCCTCAGCCTCGCACCATGCTCATGTGACTGCCAATGTCATCACACCCACCTTGTTTTCTTTTACAATAGTATTTCATAGCCCAATTTCACTTTAGTATAAGTATCTATGAATTATATATACTCCTTTCACCAATGTGAGAAGCACAGTACAGTAAGAAATTTCAAAACCACTCAAAATAATAATCTTTGCTAGCACTATATGAAGTAGAAGACAGATCTACACAATTACCTGACAGGAAATCTGCACAAGGTAGACCAGCTCTTTAGATTCACAACCATTTTTCATTACTTCATTCTGTTCTTCAGAAAGTGAAAGCTATGTCACAGAAGAAAAGAGAAAGAAAAGGACATAAAGACATGATTAAGGAATATGAATAAATCAAACACATGGACTTGCACATCAACTGAATTTAAGACATGTCTTTTTAGAATTCTGACATCAAGCAGATAATTAAAGAATTCACTATTTTAACAAAACAACACAGTCTTAGGAATTGTCTTTGTACTATATATCTAACTTGGTGCGATTGGGTTACAGCAGTAAGTAAAACAACATTCAAAAATATGACTTTACTTAAAGCATTTAGTATACGTCCTACAGGGTAGGAGCTGAACTGGACACTGAAGGACAACAAAACAGTTTACAGGAACTCAAACTCTTATTACAAGAACTGCGAAATAGCTTCTCAGAAAATAGGCTGATTCTGCAGACATGTTTAACTTCAGATTCACTATGTGGATTTAGTCATTGGATTTTATTCAGTTTGTATTTAAATGAACAGCCAACATAAGGAAGGTAAGGCTCATGTGAAAAACTTGTTGCCTTCCATTGAAAAATTAGGAATTTGGGAACACCAACCCACATTTTCTAACATGGGCAGCAATAGCTAATTTCTGACCAACACCTTTTCTTAAAAAACTATTTTTTTTGAGACAGGGTTTCATTATACAGTCCACGCTGGCTTTGAACTCACTATGTAACACAGGCTGGCTTCAAACTCACAGTGATCCTCCTGTCTCAGCCTCCCAAGTCCTGGGATTATTGGTATGCAACACCATGCCCAGCTTAAAAATATTTATTTATTTATTTGTCTGTTTATTTATATGTTTGCAGTACATAATGATTATATTCCCCATTGTTGCATGTGCATAATGTATACTAATTGTTTCATTTCTCTCTCCCTTTGCCTCCTTACCCTTCTGCATCTCCTGGTCTCCTATATTGAAAAAGATCTATCTCCCTATTTCCTATTATCTTATTCTCTTCAATATTTTTTCAAGTTTGTGAGACTAATTTATTTTGCTTAACACTATGAGTTCGAGGTACATCCATTTTTCTATAAATGACTCAAGTTTATCCTCTTTATGACAGAATAATACTCCTTTGTCAATAAATACATTTTCTTTATCCACTCAACTGTTGGTGGACACACAGACTGTTGCCAAGATTTAGCTATTATGAGTTCGTGGTGTTGTAAACACAGTTATGCATGTATCACTTCACTGTGATGTACTTAACATTTAGGATGATAACTAGAAGAACTGCTGGGTCAAGCAGAATTTCAAATTTTTAGATTTTGAGGAATCTCCACACTGGCCTACATAACAGTTATTCTATCTTATGTTCCCACCAAAGCCAAAGGATGCTTTTTTCCCCACAGCCTCACCAGCAGTTGTTATCATTTGATTTTTGCTCATGACCATTGTTACTGGAGTAAGGTGGAATCTCAATGTTGTTTTAATTTGTGTATCTTTAGTAGCCAAAGGTGCTGAACACTGTTTCACATATTTACTGGCCATTTGTACCTATTCTCCTGAGACATATAAATTCATTTCAGTTGCCCATTTTGGCTGGATGACTATCACTCTTAAATGTAAGGCATATATTCTACAACAGACTGCAGCAGAATGGATTGCTATTCATTTTGTTCTAGTACCTGGCTGAGTATCAACTGTCTCATTCACCATGCTGATTGGATTGTTACTTTTCTTATATTCCACTTATTTTACTCACTTATGTTATGTGTCTGTCCTCCTCCTTTTTTTTTCTGTAGCAGGGACTGAACTCAGGACCTTGTGCTTGCCAGGTAAGCACTTATTCTACTGAGCTATCTCACCAGCCCTGTCCCATATTTTAATTAAAATTTGCAAAGACTTCTAAAGAAGGGTAACCCTGAGATCGGAAGTACCAATAACTCAGCATGTAATACTGACCTAATTAGTTTTTTCAAACAAAAACGTGAGGATAATATATAACTATACTTATTATCAAATTAATGGCTACTAAATATGATAATACATAGAAAAAACTAAGGTGTGAGGTACTCAGGAAACACTTAATATTGCAAATATAACATATCACTACAGGTAATACCAAAACAAAAACAAGATTGATGAATATGCATTCTATAAGTGAGGGAGCAATATACATGGAAGTTATTTTTTAAGTTTTCTGGTATTAAGTAGAAGCAGTTCACAGACTAACAATAATTTTCATATTAACTAAAATAAAATGCATTTACTACAAAATCAGGACTTAAAAATCAAATAATTTAGAGTACAAAGAAACCTTAAATGAAAGTTTCAAAAAGTGGTAAGACTTTCTTGAGACAGAAAAGACTACATGAGCCCTGATATGGGCAGAGACGTCAGAGGATGAGGCATCAGCCTGCGACAGAAGGAGGAGAAGCGAACCAAACTTGGACTCCACACAGACAACAGTAGCAAAGGAGTATTACAAGGTGCATCTCTAGCAGGGTTAATGCCTTCCCAGCGATTGACTCCCCTGGGATTCACCAAGGGTACAGCTAAAGTCAGAATATCAAACACCAGGGATGACCACAGTAGGGAAAGAGGATCTTTGGAAGAGCAGAGTGCTCCTCTAAGCCAAGGCACCTCACTTCCATAGCTTGTCGGACAGAAGAACCAACATATCAGCCTCAAAGTGCTCAGGATATGTGACAGCTGAGGAAGCACAGGAAAGCTGAGGGAAAAAAAGGAGACCCTGCAGACTTTCCAGGTGACAGCGCAACTAAGGGGAGGACTGCGGAACATGAGAAGCAGCAGCCATGCTGCCAAGCATAGAGGACGTGACATGTGTCCCTCAGGCAGTAGACACGTTTCACAGGGAGCACAGCACCTTGCCAGTCTTAAATATTCAGAAATGACTAGACCAATGCTCAAAAATATTTCAATGTAGTGATGAACTCACTCAAGCCAAAGCTGTCACAAACAACAGATCAATGGCAAAGACAGATGAGCTTGATGTGTCTGAAGATTGCTTTTCAGAAAGTGACAAGACGTTGATACACAAGACTCATCTGTAGCCTGTACACCTGGCAGAAATGCCAGATGAAGACTGGGACTGGGCAGAGAGAAATAACACGTATTAACCCCAACTATCTTTTATATAACATTTGTGTGAAAATTTACAAAACATGGGACGAATGTGATCCAAGTCATGTGAGGAAACAACAAAATAAGGCATATCTCAAAAGGAATCATATATATATAAAAGTAGTAAGACAATGTAAATTATGATAGTCCATTGCTGCACCTCTCCTCATTGTTCCAAGTCTATCTGCTTTGCCAGAAGGGACCTCTAATGATGTCAGGGTTAAAGTTATTTACCCTCCTTAACTCACTGTTCCCTCTTTTCCCTTATGGAAAGCAGATATAAAAGAGTAGGTGGACATTCAAAACCAAGTGTGCATACACAGTATATCAGAAAGTGAAGCACATGCCCAGAGAAAAGCACAGGCTCAGAAATGACTTGAGACACCTTGGCTGATCCCTGGTACAGGTGCCACCTACAAGGCTGGGCGTGCACAGGAACAGAGGTACAGACCTATAATCCCAATGTTCGAGAGGCTGAGGCAGGAACAAGAGTTGCAAGTTGAAGTTCACCTTAGTCAGTTTTAAAGTCTCAGAATAAATATTAAAAGGGCTGGAAGAATGTTTACCTAGAATGTTTAAGGCCCTGAGTGCAACACCTAGTACTAGAAAACAATAAAAAAAACAAAACAGAAACAGTAAACAAAACAAAGTAATCCCTGAAGAAGGGAGGTGGAAATCTTACTTGCATGCTCACTGCCCTATTACATTAAAAAATTCATTTATCAAAGAATAATAATAATAAATCACAAAGCTTATTTTAAGAACTAGAAATATCCATTCAAAGGAAGTAAATCAATTAACAGAAGTGTACTGAAAAAGACTTGACACACACCAGACTTTGAGTTACAGGATGTCACAGCACAGGTTCTCTTATGTCCTGAGTCTGCACTGACCGTGAAGGACTAGGGCCAAAATATTGGCTACCTTTGCAGGCCCTCTATTTCTCTAATTTTGGTCTGAAAATTTTAGTTGTTTAATATCCAGAAGAGAAACTTAATGATATTATTATCCTGTAACAGAGACAGTTTAGCTTAACATCACCATTGGTCTGAATATCAAACACCTTAGACATAACATGGAGCTGCTATTTTCCAATAATCATGGATATTCTAAAATTTAAATCCTTATAGAATATGAAAAAAACAATTACACATTTTTACACAGAAAGTTAGAAATCAAACCACATACAACATGGTAGTAGGACAATCCTATGACTTTTTTCTTGTCTCTTGTTTTCTTTTATTACCTTTTTTAAAAACATTTACTTTAATGAAAGTATAGCAATAATTGATATGACTGTAGAAGCAGCACACATTAAGAAGACCAAAATGACAGGTTTTTCAAGCATGGTTTTAATATTACACATTTCTATCCTCAGGGTAGTTGCTTAGTTAACAGATATTAGCATATAGAGTTAGTCAGGGTGAGAATTCTACCCATTAACTGCTATTTTTAAAAATCTGATGGAGATTCTTAGGACCACTGCCTTAACCATCTTGTTTATATAAATGTATGGTTTTGCCCCTGCCATATTACCTAACTTTTCTCCTTTCTCTCTCTTCATTGTTTAATCCTTAAGTTCTTGCTTGCCATTTAAATGTTATAACTTTCAATCTTTATTTCTTCTTTTGAATTCTTAAACTAGGGA